ATTAAATGCTCGGAGCGCGGAGGGGTAATTGTTGCCGCTCTACTCCACTCACATACTCTGCCGGACACCGCCACACAAATGTGGCTTTTTGTTAATGACTGTCCTACTACAGGATTTAACACAGAGTAACAGCTCACTACCAGTTACAAAAGACACTGTAATAGTCTGTCACAGGCAATTCTAGCTGCATTTTTCATCAATTAATTTCTTAAATTATCATTTGACTATGTTCTGGCCCGCCATTTAGTGGCAAATTTTTTTTGGCCCGATGCCAAACTTTCTTGCCGACCCCTGATATACACTATAAAATTACTAAAATGAAAGAAAAGTAATAAAGATATGAAGGATAAAAACTAAAAATATAAAAATAAAAGTAATTAAAAATTGATAAATACTATTATTAATAATAAAATAACAGTGGTAATGTAAGTATAGGTCTATTACTGTATTTTACTTGATGGTTGCACCACATGACATTTGCGTTTCAATGTTTCTTGAAAATGGTATAAAAGTTTTGCAAAACCATATGAAACCAACATGAATAGAAAGAGTGCTTTTCTTGCAACATGTGTTTTAAACTAGATCTTGAGAAGATCCTTATATTTCATTCACCCAAGTTTAGCCAAATCGGAGAGTTACACTAAAATGTGTAGGTCTCGTTGATGTGCCAGTTTCCACGGGATAACAGACGTCATGGCATTCATGAATTTCTCATGGCCAGATCAAAAGCCTTACAGATTAAATTTTGCCTACATGTCACCCAGCCATCCTCGTGGAGACCACAAGAAAGAGGTTAGTGCTGCCGCCCTCGCTGTGACCTATCATAGATGTGTGTACTGTATACGGCCCAAAAAGAAACTCCTGGTAGGGAACATTTTCAAGGCAACTGATATGGGTGCATGCCATAACCTCCACGACAGGTCAAGGCTCCAACCTGGTAAAAAGGAAGACATAATTCCAGACTTTCTCAGCTGCTTGATAATATATCAGTGCCACATTTAATATGTTGCATATGCATATTCATTTCATGATAACGAAAAGCACAGAGTAGTGAAAGAAAGCAGCTATTGTATGCGTTGTGTAAGACCACAACAGTGGCTTAAAGTTCTGAGCTCTTGCCCGGACTGAGCTCTATTCAAACCACTAAGAATCTTGCCAGCTGCTGTGCCAAGTGAAACAAACCACCTTACAGATAAAAAGAGTCTATTTCAGCCCCTCCATTGTACGGTGAATTACAGGGATGTTTTTGTTTTCCCCCCTCCTCTGTCCTCTTTGTCAAACCTGACTTTGATCCGGCACATGGGGTTCTTTGCGAGTGTTTCCACAACTTTCATGAAGCCATTTTTAGTGATTTCATTGTTCTAGTTTTGTTGTTTTTTTGTGACAAGTTTTATTTATAAGTGTTAAATAATTGATCTCCGTCATGGGATGGGAAGGTGAATCGTCACGGCGGTTTGTGAGAAATGTAAGAAGATAGAGTGCTCCATGTTCCAACTTTCTTCACTGTCGTTGCGTCAGTGTTTGTGTGGTTTTAATAGCTGTTGCTGCAATTCAGGGTTCAGTCGTGTCTTCATTTGCACGGGTTTCCAAATAATTTCTGTTTGGCATCGCTGTAAACGTCACCAGTAAGAATCATGACCTAGGTAAAGAACTGTCAACATCAGTGTACTACTGCTTGCTCAGACATAAACATGACCATGCAACCTGATGAGCTAGCAGGAGTGCTTTGGAATCAGAAAGCTCCGATAAGGACTCAAACGGGTCAGTAAGATATTGAAACGTTCACACAGAACAATGTGGACATTGTTGGTAGAGTGCAACAGTCAGTACATTCACATCAGCAGTTATAATTGCGCTACAGAAAGTTTTCACCCGTTTGTCGAAATATGCCTGAGACAGTGAGTAAATGAGTATTTGAAGAATTTCACGATTTTAAACTAAAGAATTTGCGATGATATTTTTTAAGAATTTAGTATCTTTTACTATGATTTAGAAATCATAGATTAAGAATTATGAATATGAAATCAGATTAATAATTCTTAAAAACTATGATTTCTAAATCATAGTAAAAGATACTAAATTCTCTACAAATTTCATTGTAAATTCTTTAGTTCGTAACTTAATTTTTTTATTTTGTTTTTTTAGTATCTTTACTATGATTTAGAAATCATAGTTTTTAAGAATTATGAATATGAATCAGATTCATAATTCTTAAACTATGATTTCTAAAAATACTAAATTCTTAAAAATGTCATCGTAAATTTTTTAGTTCGCAAATTCATAAATTCAAAATTTTCTTTCGTTTTTTTAGTATCTTTTACTATGATTTAGAAGTCATAGTTTTTAAGGATTATGAATATGAAATCAGATTAAGTTGCAGTCACATTAGCATATTTATGGCGAAATTTCGTCTATTGTCACAGCAAATTCATGTGACTAACTTAAACCTGTTTCAAAATCTTCGTTTGGATTCCTATTGAAATGACTGGGATTTTTGCATTAATTTTCTCCATAGGAATTTCAAAAATATCCATAATAAACAGTTCTAAGCTAAATCACAGCAGTACTTTTTTGCAGATCTTCATGTGATTGGGAGTTCACTGCTCATTGTTCTTGTTTCTGTGGTAACATCGACTTATTTAATTGGTAGATCCAAGCCATTTCAGGATTGTGGGTAGTGTAGTTCTTCTTTTTGTTTTTTAAATTCACCCTGCTTTGTGGCTTTTATGGAAGCTATTATCATTACATTAAAACCTCAGATCTCATTGTAAGTCTGTCTTGACAAGCTTATACATTATCATTCAAAAGTTTGGGGTCAGTAATTAAAAAAAAAATTAATACCCTTATTTAGCAAGTTGCATTAAAGTAACAGTAAAGACAGTTTATAATATTACAAAATATTTCTATTTCGAATAAATGCTGTCCTTTTGAACTGTCTATTCGTCAGAGAATCAGAACATTTTTGAACTGTACTGTGTGGTATTTGTAAACAATTATTGTGAATTTTCCTCTTTACTCCCTGTTTACTCTGTCACTTGATACTGTCTTTGACTGACATTATTTTTCACTTTTGTTAATCAAGGGTGCATTTCCCAAAAGCATCGTTAGCCAACTATGGTCGCAAGTTCCGTCGTTACCAACATAGTTCAACGATTCATGTGTTTCCCGAAACCATAGTTCAAATGAACATTCACAAACAGTGTCGCAAACTTATGTGGTAGGAACAACAGCTCTCAACCTGTGGTTAGAAAGCATAGTTTCTTGTTAAAAAGACATATGGACTTAAATTATGCTTTTGGGCACAATAAGCAAGCTAGCATGCAGTACAATCTATATCTTCCATTCTATTTAAATCCGCGTCCTAAAATAAGCGCGTCCTCAATAAGCGCCATTTTTGAAGAGTGCGCATGTGCATAAATGCCTAAGGGAAGTGCATAAGTGCCTAAGGGAACCCCGGAGTATGACGTAAGAGGAAACCCGCAATGAATCAAACATCAAATAAAGCAAAATGACAGGGAACAAAACAGTAAATTAGTCATCAGGTGCCATGTTCAATACAGCAGCATCTCAGAAATCTCGAATCAATTAATTAGCAGAAGTTATTACTCCACCACATGCGTGTGACGTCATTGACAACGGCCCTATGTTGTTGAACTAATGTGGTTCAAACGACGGAGATGCGACCGTGTTCGGGAAACAGTCGTGACTGGCTAGTTAGTTTCCACAACAATGCATCGTACTATGGTGGTTAATCAGTGAGTTATGTTGTTGTACGGGAAACGCACCCCTGATCAGATATAGTTTTGGTTGTGAGCAGCACAAAACTGGAGTTCCACATTCATGTCATGAAGTTTGTTGCCTGACTTTTCCTCTGGGAATACTACTTTACTGGATCAGGGTGTAATTGATTCCATTTTTATATCCGTCCCGAACTGACTATTTAATTAGAGGGCTGAAATCTGAAGATTTGGGACAAATCCTTCTTCCACAGAACCTCTTGTACTCTGGAAATACTTCGTAATTCCTTATGCACTAGGAATTCTGAGAATCACAAAATGCTGCATTCACTGAAATTTGGCAGTGAGGTAGGGCTGTCAAAAAATTTTTTAATTTTGAATATTCGTCGAATTTAAAATAAAAATCCACATTCGAATGCAAAAACATTGCATTCGGATTTTAGGTGTGCATCAGGCACCCTTAGTGGTGCACGAGATGCGATGACGATGTAAGTGTCATTGCATTTTAATGTTTTTCTTAGCCTATCCAGTTGAACCCATTAGATGCGGCGCTGCTACGTTGTTCATTAAAATATTGCGGGGAAAAAGAATATCAATGCGGAGATCATGTTGTTTACGTCAAAACCGAAACCAAACCGTTCGCACAGAATGCATATTTATCACATTTTCTAGAGGGACGTCTATGACCGTTGCACTGCATCTCGGAGAGAGATGCATGTTTAGAAAGCCATGTCAAATTAATGTAAGTTCAACTTTTTAAAAACATGTCTCAAGACTTTATGGCGGTTTTCCCCCATCCTACTGCATCTCAAGTTTTTAAATGAAGAAAGCAGGCTACTCTTTGTGATTGGTTTTCGGTCCTTTGTTTTCAATTATAGACTACATACATGCATGATTCTGTTTTGTTTCTAATTGTTTAAGCAACTTACATTATAAACTTTAAAATAATGTATATAAGGTTTATAAACATTATTTTAAACATTATGCACTTTTTTCAAAGATAGTCGTGTTATTTTATTATACTTTGAAGAAACGTGCATAATATTTTGTTCGATGCGCCCTCTTGTGGCCTCAGGAGAGAAGAAGTTTTTCAGCCATTTTGACAGCCCTACAGTGAGGTGTGATGAAAGTTCAGCGGGAAAAAAAAATGAGAGGTGTCCTGACTAAACCAGTTAAATCAAACCTTGGCGTACTGCCTTGGGCAACTGACTGTCACACCCAAATATGTCTAATTCTTCCTTCCTCTTCTGTATGCTCTTCTAGGTGTATAAGTAACGGAGAGCTTCTAAGAACAAGCACAACCAAGAACCGGTCACCTCATTCCGCATTAATCATGGTGGACAAAATGGCCTCTTTTGGACATGCGCTGCTGCGCCGTCGTGTGCTGAACTGCTCTGGGGAGGAAACGCGGTTCGCTCGGTGTCTGTCCACTCTCGATCTGGTGGCGCTCGGCGTGGGCTCCACACTTGGTGCTGGAGTGTATGTGCTGGCTGGGGAGGTTGCCAGAGAGAAAGCAGGCCCTGCTATCATCTTGTGCTTCCTTGTGGCTGCACTTTCCTCCATGCTGGCCGGACTGTGCTATGCAGAGTTTGGCGCACGAGTCCCTAAGACTGGGTCTGCGTACTTGTACAGCTATGTGACAGTGGGAGAAATCTGGGCCTTCATCACTGGTTGGAACCTCATCCTCTCTTACGTTATAGGTAAGTGTGTCCAGGACCAGTTGATAATGATTTTCAAGAAATCTGTTGTAGCTATAACTGCAATAAAAAGCTGGTTCTTGTTTTCAGGTACAGCTAGTGTGGCGCGAGCGTGGAGCTCTACGTTCGATAACCTGATCGAGCAGAAGATCTCTAACTTCTTCAGGGCGTCTATGGCCATGAAGGTTCCTGGGAAAGTTCTTGCAGAATATCCGGACCTGTTTGCCCTCATTCTCATCCTGCTACTGACTGGTGAGAAAACTAAAAATAGGTATCTTAAGATTTACAGATTTTTTTTTTTTTTTAGTTGTGTCTTTTAATTAATAACCAGAAATGTAGAGATGAATAGAACAACCACTTGGTAAACACTAAAATGTTAAAACTTTTTATTAAAATATTTTATAAATAAATATTATTAGGGATCCACCGATATTAAAATTCTAGCTAAACCGATTTTTTTATAGTTTTTTTTATAGTTGATTAACTATAATTTAATAAAATTAAAAATGTAAGTTCTATATTATAGATATTGTGTAAATAAATAATAAATAAAAATCAACCATGTTACAAGTATATTCAGGCATCACAACAATATTCTAATTCATAGTTCATTTGGATATTGGCTAAAGCTACATTTACATTGTTCTTAAATTAGTAAATTACAGATTCCAAAAATTTAAGTGTTAAATATTAACTCTAAGTGATGGTTCGATGATGAAAAAATATGACTCAGATGCAAAAATGGTAAATGAGCATTCATAATTAAATATTTGATGTTGGCCGATGCAGATAAAAAAAAATCTAATATCGACAGGTGAAGAGTGTGGTGCCAATATATTGTGCATATCAAGTAATACATTTATGTAGTAAAAATGTATTAAATTTAAATAAAAAAATAAAATAATAATTGTGACCTTATGAACATTTATCCTTAAGAATAAAGTTTAAATAGCGTAATCAGTACACATGTAGTATCTATACATTTTAAGTAAAAAACAAACTGAAATTGTTCTAATTATCATTATTAAAAAAACAAACTGATTTAATAAGTAAAAGATTTGTGCTTTCCTCCTCAGGATTGCTTGCTTTTGGTGTAAGTGAATCTGCTCTGGTGAACAAGATCTTCACTGGGATCAACCTGATCGTGCTGGGCTTTGTCATCATCTCTGGCTTCGTCAAAGGCAACACAGCTAACTGGAACCTCACATATGAGGACTTCGTCAATGATACAAATATCACCGAACCAGAGTAAGTTTGACATGAAAGAATCCTGTTTTTGAAGTGGTGCAAATGAGGATCTCTTACAGTTGTGCGGTGGATAATGGGATTTCGTGCACAAAATACATGCAAGAGATTTGACAAATCCATTTGTTCTCACAGAAGGGTTGAAAGCACATTTGGAAGTGGAGGTTTCGCGCCGTTCGGCTTCGGCGGCGTCTTATCTGGCGCAGCCACCTGTTTCTACGCCTTTGTGGGCTTTGATTGCATTGCTACAACAAGTACGTCTTTTAAATAGCAGAATTCTAGAGCGTGAATACTGATTGTTGAACATTTTGTTTTTTGTTTCTTCTGAAACCTTCTGCAGGGTGAGTCAGAAATGTATGTGGTTCACTTTAACCTTATTTTTTCCTGTAGGTGAGGAAGCCAAGAACCCTATGCGCTCCATCCCTGTGGGCATTGTAGCCTCTCTGCTCATTTGCTTCTTTGCTTACTTTGGTGTGTCAGCTGCTCTTACGCTCATGATGCCCTACTACAAACTCAACACCCAGAGTCCCCTGCCCGAGGCCTTCAGTTACGTAGGCTGGGCGCCGGCACGCTATATCGTAGCCGTTGGTTCACTCTGTGCCCTTTCGACAAGGTAAATCAAGGACTTTTTGTCCTGTCATGTTTCCATTCATACGTTTTCCATTTATCTGAATCTGTTTTATTTTTATCGTAGCTTGTTAGGCTCCATGTTCCCCATGCCTCGAGTGATCTACGCTATGGCAGAAGACGGGCTGCTCTTCCGTTCCCTCTCTAGGATGAACAAGAAAACCAAAACTCCACTGCTGGCGACTATTGTGTCTGGAATAGTGGCAGGTGAGAGACGTTTTTTTTTTGTTTGTTTGTGTTACAACATGTCCTAACTTTGCAGGCGTCACTTAATTTTTGTTCACACTGAAATCGGAAATGAGGCAGCCAATCAGAACATACTTGTTTGTTTAATATACAGCTATGTAGATTTTGGGCCAATGAGATTTCACTGTGGGAGGAGCTACCCAGTGCAGTGCTGCAGAAATGGAAACAAATGTTTGTTTTTGTGGCTGCTACTGATAAAAATGTATATTTACATGGTAGCGATAGCTTTTATCGCTACGTGTCTGGATAAGACGTGGTGTTTAACCATTTAAAGGTGGTGATGTTATGTAAGATTTGATATGGATGGATTTTCAGACATGTTTTTTTTTTTTTAGCTCTCATGGCGTTTCTGTTTGATTTGGCTGCTTTGGTTGATCTCATGTCCATTGGGACATTGCTTGCGTACTCTCTGGTGGCCGTGTGCGTTCTCATCCTCAGGTAGGTTAAAACATCACAAACACTATGCAATGGGTCTGCTACTATCAACTACCTAAATCGTTAAGAGAGGCTATATTGTACATGTTTTTCCATGTATGATGTTAAATCACGGTTTGTTGCTCCAAAAAACAGTCACAATTTAGTATTACATGACCATTTCCATTTAAAATCTGTTTTTGCTATGGTACCTCTGTTATGTAACCAATGCCAGTAACCACAGGTCAAACGTTTGGAGTCTGTAAGAAGTCTCTCTCACTAAGACTGCATTTATTTGATCAAAAATGTTTTGCATTTGAATATATTTTGAAATGTAGTTCATTGGTGCTCCAGAAGCATTTCGTGTCATCAATGTTGAAAAGTTGTGCTGCTTAATATTTTGGTAGAAACCGTGATACTTTGATGAATAGAAAATCGAAAGGAATAGCATTTATTTGAAATAGAAATCTTTTGTAATATTATAAATTATATTATGAATTGATCAACTTAATGCATTCTTTCTGATTAAAAGTATTTCTTAAAAAAAAAAAAAGACTTTCTGACTCTAAATTTTTGACTGTTACTTTATGTAAAATGATTAACTATGCTGCATGTTGTGGGTTTGCTGTCGGGTCATGTATGTGCTTGGTTTGACTCAAGCGTTCTTTATGCGTCTAGATATCAGCCAGGCAACCTGAGCTCTTCCAGTCAGACTGAGAAACTGGTGGAGCTGGTCGGTGGGGAGAAGGTGGCCGTATGTGGAGACAGTGGAGATGAATATGGCATAGACCTGGATGACAATCCCCGCAAAGAGAAATTCTCCCCAAGACTCCTCCTGGTTCCTTCCAAGGACTCACCAACTGAAATGTCAGGAACTATTGTCTACGGAACAACCGCTATTATCTGTAAGTAAAGATTTGCTTGGTTGTCACCTTTTGATGAATGAAAGAGACATTAAAGTCCCCATGAAATCAAAATTAAAGTTTTTTTGGGTGTTAGTATCAATATGTTAGTCTTAAGGTTGTCTATAAGGCAGTGTGCTCCAAAACGGTGACAAAATTAGCATTTATTAGATATAAGCATTCAAAGCTTGCAGTTCGTCACTTCCAAAACGGCTCAACGATTTTTTTGACGTCACATCGTACTTCAGCTTCTCATCAAACTTTCTGTCCAATCAAATGCTCTCTAGAATCCCCTACACTATAAAATAGACGCTGAAGCCGTGGCTGAAATCGGTCACTTGTCCACAGAATTAGAATTTTCTGTACAGTGAATGGCACGTAGTGCACTATATAGGGGTGTAGTACTTCCTGTACAGTGAATGGCTCGAAGTGCACAATGTAGGTGATAGGGAACGATTCAGACAGTGTAAATATACTTTCGATTGGTGCAAATGAGGTCTGGTTTCACGCGAACCGCAGCAGCGCACACAGTCTGATCCGGACTTTGGCTCCGGTCCAGAGACGCGATCGCACGGAGCGGATCATATGCGCGAGTCGGCATATATTAAAAACTTTTACAACTACACAGCCTCAGTATGATTATGACCACTCTTTTTTTATTTTTTCTAAGAGTTTCATATTGAATCTAGGGGGTAATCTATTAGACTGTGGCTGTCAAATGCGGCTTTACCGAGCTCAAGGGCTCTGGCCCGAGCAGATAAAAACAAAACGCTATTGGCTATTTTTAAAAGGGGCGGGGCTGCTCGATATGTCCCGCCCTCTCTTTCTGTTTCAGTTGAAATTACGTCACCACATAGAATAATGCTGTGTGTTTCAAGGCACTTCAGGGGAGCTTTAAAGAGACAGCTGACCCAAAAATAAAAAAAAGAATTGTGTGAACTATAAAAGGGTGAGTTAGGGATTTTGTCTAAATTAAATAAATAAAAAATAAATAAAAAATAAATAAAATAAAATCGTACATTTAAGTGGATTGAGGCATCACAATATTAGAATGTACAGTATGAAAGTGAACTTTTTTTTAATGAGATTTGCTAAATATTACATTTAAATGTTATTGAATTATTAGTGTTTTAAATATTAACTTTAAATGAGCGTTATTGTACAACCCTGGTGTGAATTTGTGATTTCAGTCAGTACAATTTTTGCTTTTTTTAATATTTTTTTGTTGAAAAAAATTATACTTAGCAAGGAATTATATTCAGCAAGGATGCATTCATTGGATCAAAAGTGACAGAGAATATTTTGATAATGCTACAAAATATTTCAGTTTCAACTCAAATAAATGCTGCTCTTTTGAACTTTATATTTATCAAAGAATCCTGAAACAAGTATATCACAGCAATATTAAGCAATAAATATTAAACTGTTTTCAACACTGTTAATATTCAAAGATTATTCGTGAGTACCAAAATAAGCATATTAAAATGATTTTCTAAATGATTTAGTATGATTTCTGGAAATGTATTCAAATTGAAAACTTGTTTCACAATATTACTGTTTTACTCTTATTTTGATCAAATAAATAAATGTTCCTGTGGCTCAGTGGTAGAGCATTGCGTTAGCAGCGCAAAGGCCGTGGGTTCAATTCCCAGGGAACACACATACTGATAAAAAATGTATAGCCTGCATGTACTGTAAGTCGCTTTGGATAAAAGCATCTGCTAAATGCATAAATTTAATTTTAATTTAATTTAATAAATGCTTGGTGAGCACAAAAGCCCAAACTTTTGAATGGTACAGTAGTGTATGTACACTCTGCATAGACCCAGTTATTTGTATTTATTTCATTGTGATTCAGTGATTTGGCTCATCCTGAATCTGTTGACTATGCACTAATTCTAATATCCTCTTGTCTGTGTTAGCTGTGCTGATCACTGTGCTATGCGTGGTTTTGGCTCTGCGGCTGGAAGCCATCATGAATCTCGAGATCGTGTGGGTGACGGCGTGTGTCATTCTGGTCCTGCTGTGCATCTCGTGTGTCATTGTGATCTGGAGGCAGCCTGAGAGCAAGGAAGCTCTCACCTTCAAGGTACCAGATGTCCTCGTTATTGATTTTACCTTTTATTAGGCTATAAATCTTTGCCTCGGGCTTGAACGTAAGCACTGAAGTGATGTAAAAGGAAATGCGCTATTAGTACACAAATACTCCCAAGGGACAGTATTTGGTTTTTTATCACTTAAAGGGACAGTTCACCCAAAAATGAGAGTCCTGTCAGCATTTACTCACCCTCATGTCGTTTCAAACCTGTATGAATTTATGTTTTCTGTGTAACACCAAATAAAGGGCCCTTTGATTTCTGTGATTCAGAAAACGTAGATGGAATACAGTCATTAAAAATTGAATTTACAATGTGTAATATCACTTTTTTTTTGCATTTTAACAGTAAACTTGTTTTGCAGCATGCAAAAAAGTTACATTTTCATTTCATTACGTTAAAAGATTAATTAAATAGTTAATGAATTATGCCTTTATTTGATTATGACAGATATTACATTTGTATTAAATCATAAATGAAGGAATGGGTCATTTCTGGAAAAATAAAATTTTAATGAATTAGTAAATTGTTAAAGTTTTGCAAATTCAATTGAATAGACATACTTTTTGATTACAAAAATGTATTAAATCAATAAAATGTGGATGGAATTAAAAAATTAAAACAAAACAATTAGGAAAAAATTAAATATTTCATAGGGTCTTAAAAATTTAATTTTTGTTAAACTTAATGAATTGTTGTTAAATTGTAAGTTTCATTAATTAATTAGACCTTTTTTATTAACAAAAATTATTTTAACCATTAAAATGGAATCCAGAAAAACTGAAATTAAAAAATAAATAAAGGAATTTGGGGAGATAAAAAAAACACCCCCAAACTATGATTTCATCCAGTCTGAGGATTTCAAACATGTTTAATATTTTGAGTTGATTTTAGCACACAGTTTTTATAAAATAGAATTTAGGGGAAAAAATCTAAGATTTCATAGGGTCTTATAAATGTAATTTTTGTTCAACATTAAAAAAAATATTCTTAAATTGTAAAAGTTTCATTAATTAATTAGACATGTTTTTTAATACCAAAATTTAATTTAACCATTAAAATGGAATCCAGAAAAAAATTTAATCCAAAAAAGGATTTGTCATGTGTCCCGTGCAACAAGGTGCACATTTCTGCATTGTTTGTGTTCAGAATGACCTGAAAGTAGTTTAGTGTATGATGCTTATTTTTCCTCTGTAACCATTTACAAAACCAACAAGTCTGCGATACCTGGTATTTCAAAATGTGCTCATATTTGAAAAGTCATACATTGTTCTAACCTTAAATCTAAATCTTCCTGTGTGCAGGTGCCTCTGTTGCCCTGGCTGCCTCTGTTCAGTATCTTTGTCAACATCTATCTCATGATGCAGCTGGACGTGGCCACCTGGTGCCGCTTCACCGTGTGGATGTGTGTCGGTGAGGACATCTGTTCATTTAGTTTCTGCCTCCGATAGCGTCCTGTTTGTTTCCTTCATTTCAAACCACCCACTTCTTTTCTCATGTCCGTTCCCAGGTTTCGCAATCTACTTCGGCTACGGCATCCGGAACAGCACCGAAGCCATGAACAGCTCCCTCCGAAAATACGAGCCGGCCCTTCAGAACAAAAGCCCCATATACCTAGGCGGTGAGGAGAGTGAAATGGAGGGCATTTCTCTCTGATAGGGAGAGTTTGACGGGCATGTTGCCCTACGCATTTTCATTGAAGTTACAGATTTATTGTGAAAACGTGGCTCATTCATTGTAGAAACTGCCCTAAACGTCTCAATTGCTAAAGGATTCTTAAAAGAACCCGAAGTGTTTTCCGTTAAGAGGTTGTTGTGCAGCCTTGGCCCTCCAGTACTGTAAATGCTGGTTTGAATGTCCTGCTGTAATCGCTAGTACTGTGATGGCCATATTATCTGGCAGACAATGAGCTGACGGTGTACAGGGTATTTAATTTTCGGGATTGAGCTCCAAGCGTGTTGTTTGTGCACCTTTGGGTCCAAAACGGTCTCCTTTCACCTCCTGGTTTCCCAGAATGAGGTTGTGAAGTACAACAGGGACCCCTAGTGTTCACAATTTGAAAATGGCAATACCGTTGGACAGTATTTGTGGTCATTGGTTACTGTTAGACAGAATAATTGAAGAAATAAAAAAAAAAAAACTGACTGAAATGCTAAAATCCCATGAGTTTGAGAGTTGTCCAAAGAGTGTATGGATAGAAAAATGGTTTCCATTTCCTAAGTGTGACGGTGTGTTATTAGCACTGCTGTCTGCTGTGTGTTGGGATAATGTTATTAGCCAGTGTGGTATAAAATGCTAGTATTTTAAAGTGTGTGTGTGTGAGAGAGAGAGAGAGAGAGAGAGAGTTTTGAATGGATTGTATAAGGTTGCGCCAGAATCTGTTCCGTTTTACAAAATACTAAATTATTTTTTGGAAAAAACTGTTTTATATGGACATGTATAGTTTACCCATCCAACTCCTTAAACTTGATGATTTTACTTTGGCATACTGTATAACAGTGTTTCTAGACAACATTTATGGAAGGTTGCCTTCGTAACTGTTGTTTCTGCCAAAACTACTTACACTACCGTTCAAAAGATTTATTTATTATTTTTTAAGAATTGAATACTCTTATTTTGGAAGGATGCCTTAAATTGAAAAGTGGCAGTAAAGACATGTATAATACTATTCCAAATAATTGCCATCAAAGAATCTAGAAAAATTTTTATTATAATAAAATTAATTATAATAAAATGATATGAAACTTATTAAAAGGCTGCATTTTAAAATAGAAAAAGGTTATTTAGAGTTGTAATATTATTTCATGATTTGACTGTTTTTTGAGCAAATAAATGCAGCCTTGATGATCATAAGATTCTTCTATCAAAAGCATTTACTTTTGAACGGTAGTGTATCTACGGTTATCTGTACCAACTGCTAATTTGATAGTAACCACCGCTGACTTGAAAGATTCTGAAAGCTACTTATATTGTTTGAAGGAAATACCCCAGCCGTTTTGTTTTGTTTTTTCCCAGATAATCGGAGAGCAACGGAGGCTTGTCTGTGCGACAGAATAGAGTAGAAGTTGTTTAAAACCACTATTATTTTTTAACCCATTTTGTCTTTAATATATTAACATTGACTTCATTATTAGAAGCTCATTTTTGTATAGCTTTCTCTATTATATCTGTGTTTCACAATCAGCTAAAAATGGTTTTGTTTACATGTTCCAGAAATGTAAAGTTTAGCATGTAAACGTGTCTGATGACGCATTGTTGTCTGATCCCTAGGCTTTACAAAGTTTTGATTCCGTTTGGAGACGTGTGTCTCCTGTAGATCAGTGCCTGAGGTTTCAAATGTACCTCAAAGACGATTGGTCATCCAAGTCATATGCCTTTGAGATACACTTGTAGTGTTACATGTGTTTATCACTATATATATTGTTTGTCTTTGGGTTTTTTAAACTGTAAATATCCATGCCATGTACAAAGAAAATGAGCTGTATTATAAAAATTCTGTTCATGTTTTTCTTTTTTAATAAAATGTTTCGCAAAACAACAGAGGTGGTTTGTTGTGCAAAATATATGGGAATTAAATCATTTTTAGACACAAAATCTTTTGTGTCGCACATTTTATTGATCGTTCATCTCATCTCTCACACAAGATCAATAAATACACAGTTAATAGTCATTTTGGTCAGCTAAATGACATTGTATTAGTCTGCAAGTCAAAAATGTACATCTCAGCAGCTACTAACCTCAGTTATGAAAGAGTGAACTTTTATTAATAAGAACCAAACCAGAAAAATCAGGGACATGGTTTAACAGTGCTTTACAGACTGGTATGTTGGTAAAATCTCTGGAAAAGTGTCTTTAGTGACACCATGACCATTTTGAATGAGGAAAAAGGCGGGAAACTCAAATGCGGCTCACCATAACTGAGTGTTTTTTGTAAGGTTTATGATATCTGAGATTTGCATGTAGTGATTTAAAATGCATTTTATTTAGTATGTATCGGATCATTTAACAATCATGAGGGTGCGTCCTGAAGGAAAAACTGACTTTTCATATTCCCTATTATTGGTATGACCTCTGCAGGCGAAGTTCGTCATCATCTCCTCATCAGGTGATGAGGTTTGGTAAGGAACAGAAGTCCCCCCCCTACAGTTGAATTATTCAATCAGAGGTCCCAGCATATAAATAATCAACATTCAAAACATTGGGGTTGGTAAGATTTTTTAATGTATCGAATGAAGTGTATTATTCTCACCAAGGCTGCATTTATTTGATCAAAAATACAGTAAAAATTACAATATTGTGTATAGATGAATGCGTTCTATTATAATATATTTTAAAATGTTATTTATTCCTGTAAGAGCATAGTCATTACTTCATTCTTCAGTATCTCATGGTGCTTTAGAAATCATTCGAATTTGTTGATTTGATGCCCAAGAAACATTTCTTAAAATTATCGGTGGTAAAAACAGTTGTGCTGCTTAATATCATTGAGGAAACCATGATACATTGTTTTTTTTTTTCAGGATTCTTTGATGAATAGAAAGTTGAAAGAACCGCATATATTTGAACTTCTGTAATAATATTGAAGTCTTTACTGTCACCTTTGATCAATTGAATGCATCCTTGCTGAATAAAACTAGAAATTTCATTCAAAAAGAAATTACAGAAAATTATTGTTAATGAGGATCCTAAGTGAACACATTAGGGGCTATTTGGATTGGTGTGGTCCTCCTGTACATGCTCTCAAATGATCCATCATTTCTAGGTGAACTTTTGGTTTAAACTTCAGATCAGTCTTTGCTCCAAAGGATCAGTGTTTCTGCATTTTTTCCCCTTAAACAGTTCCCACAACTCAGTTCTCCAGGTTCCATCCTTCCAGATTGGCCGAGAAGACTTGCCAAAGCTCCAGGAAATTCACATTTGCTGATATTTGTGACACTGGAGCACAAAACCAGTCATAAGTAGCACAGGTATATATTTGTAGCAATATCCAACAATACATTTTATGGGTCAAAATGATTGATTTTTCTTTTATGCCAAAAATCATTAGGATATTAAGTAAAGATGTCCCATGAAAATATTTTGAAAATTTCCTACCGTAAATATATCAAAACGTAATTTTTGATCAGTAATATGCATTGCTAAGAACTTCATTTGGACAACTTTAAAGGCGATTTTCTCAATATTTAGATTTTTTTGCTCCCTCAGATTTTCAAATAGTTGTATCTCGTCCAAATATTGTCCTATCCTAACAAACCATACATCAATGGAAAACTTATTTATTGTTGATGTATAAATCTCAATTTCCAAAAAATTGACCCTTGTGACTGAGTTTGTGGTCCAGGGTCACATTTAGGTCATTATTTGAATTGGCTTTAAAGAGAATAGGAACTTTATTCGAAGTAACTATGAAAGCAGGAAACATTGATCGAGGGGACGAGAGTATTTGTGGGTTGTCAAGCTAAGGGAGAACGACAGCACTGGTTTTGCAGTGAAGGAGCATGATACAGAAGTCACTTGATCAACAGAGGCAGCGGCGGTCGCTCTTGGTCACCTCCTCGGATGAGTGCACCACGTTGGGCACGAAACCGCTCT